AAGGTCGAGTTAGAGTCCTTGAGGGTCCTGCTCCACGTTGATCGTTGGAATCTCCTCAATGATTTAACACTTTAAGGGACTCCTAGGGTCCTCATCGCATTTATAGTTTAGTGATTATAGGCAACTCGGTGTTGAAGACACTTAGAGCTGAAGGCTTGAGTAATGTTGGCAGTATTCAGAAGTGGTTCAACGGAAACACTGCATAAAGCTTAACAGTAGTTTATTTACTAACTTAACCACTAATACACAGGGTGCTTGATTTACTTTAGATTGGCGTCAGCAAAGCTATGGTTGTATTAGCGAGACTCTTGACGTCTGGCTAATGGACTCGTATCCACTCGTGGAGAACCACCTAACTTAACACAGTTGACAGCCAATCATTAACACGGCAACCTAACTGCCGGTATGCAAAGGGATCACAAGAGTTCCAACCTGATACTCGGTAATGATGATATGCAATAAATCAACAAATACACTGTCAATGGGACAGGCAATAACATGCACAATAATAATGTCACACAATAACTAAATGTGTGGTGTATGTGAAGCTCACATTCAACAGACGAGTGAAATGCCGTGATACCACACAGATAAACACGCATACACCCGTCGATTCACCTATGACCTGTGACAGGTATGAGAAGGTGAGAACTGTGGTTGATACCTCAGATCAACACAGACACAATAAAACAATGACAAGATCTTGTTGTACTTACAGATAAGGTACCATTCCTTACTCACTCACTCAGGCACATTTATACAAGCACTCGTAGGTGGCCTGACAGCTGGTTTCGCTCATAGACATGGAGGGTACTTGCAGTAGGGTGTGCTGTATGCTTAACAGACAGACACATGCACACACACTGGCACTGGCGATGAGTAAGGTGGTGACGTCATGTAGTAGTGAGGGCGGCGGCAGGCATCTCAAGGTACTGAAGTACTGAGGTACACGCTCGGGACGAGTGGCGGCTGACGGCGGCCGTGGTACCATGCAGGCACACTTGTGGTAAAGTCACACACAGGTTACTTAGGCGGCGGCACTGCCTTAGTTCACTCTAAGTCACTCACAACGACCTTTGTCACCAGGGGTTACCTGATACCAGTCTGTTTCGCTCTGGAGATTTGTCACTTTAGGCTTCTGAACAATATAATCACAATCGTGATTCCGGGCGAGTGTGTAGTATATCGTAGAGACGCTGAGTTAACTTGACGGTGAGGAATAGACGGTGTTCAGTCTATTGGCCGGTAGACAGAACAGAACCTGTCCTGAGTTTAGTGTCCCTCACTTGAATGCTTTACAAGTGCTGCCAGGCATCTCGTGGCACCCAGCACAAAGAGTTACAATTTGACCAATGGCATTGCAGCAAATGAGCGGGAACCAATCATATTAGCTCGTTCGATGAGCAGTAGCAGGAGTGACGTCATGAACACGTCACGACCACGTCATGGCTGTTATTCACCATCGCGCCAGTTGACCCCAGAGGTCAGACGGTCGCCTCGTTGGCATGTCCCCTCTACTGTCTCTCACGCGGGCAATGTACTCACTGACCCTTTGGTGGCAAGTATGCTTAACTCCCTGTATCTACTTCCTGCCTGGACATACGGCGGCCTCCGTATTATGAAAGTGTTCTTGGTTAAGTGGGCATTCTGGAGATACCCAACATGCCAGGTCACTATCCAGGGTTAAGAGAGATAGGCTTGTGCACGAAGATCAGTGCACTGTGCACTGCAATGAGCCATTCCAATCAGCTGTGGGAGAATCTTGAGAGACACTCTCTCACATGGGGAAAGAGGGGGGGGGGGCGACTTTGAGCCCCTCAATGCGTGCGTTTTTGCCCCTTGTGCTTCCTCGTGATGTTGGTCTGGTGCAGCTGCATGCGTAGGTTCCCTCCCTTCCGGCTGCTTTGGTGGCGGGAGATTTTTGCGCTCGCGGGCATTTGGCCTCGGTCTTGCACTACTTTTCCCTTCTCGAGTTGTCCTTGGACTGGGTTGCGGAGTATGTGGAGGCATTAAATGCTGGGCCATCATCTGGGGCTCTGGCCTCAGCGGCCAGAGCGTCAGCTGCCCTGTTGAAACTGTTTGTGCTGATACTCCGGGAGGCGGTGTCTCTGTTTTTTGCCTCTCGCCTGGCATGTCATCAGGCCGTCCTTGCTCTCTCCTTGGAATCTGCATGGGCCCTGGCTCTCTCCTTGGAATCCGCTTGGGCTCTGGCTCTTAGATTTTTTTTGCCCTTCTGTCAGTTGTTTGCGGAAGGTACTGTTATTCGGTTTTGCAAGAAGACTTGGCTAGTTGCTGTCCTCTTTCAGATTTGTTGATTTTTCGTGGGTGGTCATTCTCGGGCCTCTCGGAAGGGTCATGCCAGGGCTCGGGTTTCTTCTGGTCGAGGTGGGCCCTTGGTGCCAGCTTCGGAGCCGTCGTTGTCTGGTCAGAGCTGAACGTCGGCCGGCTTCCCATAAGGGGCACCGGCCGTTTTTCGCGAGTTGCCCCGTTGACCTCCCTGCTGGTGGGGGGGGGGGGAAGCTGGTTCTGTGTACCCACGCTTGGTCCCACGATTCGTGGACATTTTGGTCATGTTTTCCGACCTGTGGTGATGTTGAGCATCTCCTCCTCCTCTGGGAGGTTCGGGGCGGACTTCTTCCCCTTCGCTCCGTCAGGTCATCCTGAATTGGGTGCGCTTGGGCGTGGTCGAAATGACCTCGTTCGTCAAGTGGGTTTTTTGCCCGTTTCCAGTACCAAAACGGAACTGTGCGATCTTCTGTTCATTCAGGACTTGTCCGTCTGAACCGTTGGATTTTTTGCCCATCCATTTGGATGACTACTCTGTCCCAGGTCCGGCTTTTTTGAAGCCAGATTGTTGGTGTCTCTGAACCTCCGGGACATGTATTGGCACATCCTGATTCATCCGGGGTTCAAAGACCGAACCCCGGACGAGGTTCAGGTTTTATGGTTTTTATTGTAGGGCGGCATGCTTACTGCTTTTGTTACCTTCCATTTGGCCTGAATATGGCCCCTCACATTTTCACGCATCTTGCCCCATTTCGTTGTGCCGCATCTGCTAGGTGTTCGGGTGTTGGCTTACCTCGATGGCTGGTTGGTGTGGGCTCCCAGCCAGTCTGCTTGTCTGCCCGTTAGGGGTTTGGTTTTTCCCAGCTCACCGGGTTCGGGTCCCTGGTGAACTTGTGGAAGTCCCATTTGGTTTTGTCCCATGTTCAGACTTGGACGGGACTTGACTCCGACAGCTTCCGAGTCTCCCTCTCGCGGTGTTGCTGCGGCTGCAGTCCTGCCTTCAGCTGTTTCTGAGAGGTCCTGGGTCACTTGGAGCTTGCTCAAGCGGTTGTGCGAGTGTCTGAACTTCACATGCTGGGTTACCCACTGGGTCGGGTCTGGCTTCGACTCCTGTTCTGGTTCCTTAGGTGCTGTCCCTTCCGTCTCTCGCAGCTGCTGGGTTCATTCCCTGTGGGCCTTGCATCGGTTGCTGTTGCCGGCTTCCTCTTCAGGTTTTTCGGAGTTTGGTGCCTTGGCACCTTCTAGAACTCTCGCTCGATGTGTTCACTTGCCTTGTGGTTCGTTGTCTGAACCGTGAGGGGCCTCTTCGGTCCATGGCTCTTTGGGGCTGATCACTTCAAGTGGCTCGTCTGCTGGTTTTTCAGGGTTTAGCTCTGTGCGGTTCACATCCAGGAAGTGTCCAGTGTCCTGGCGGACAGCCTGTCTCGGTTCATTTCCCTGTTCATGGAATGGACGGTTGACGTCGACTCCTTCAGCTGGCTCTGCTGGACGTACGGGCCCCTGAGGTGGACCTTTTCGTGTTGGTGTGGTCCTGGCATCTCGCGATATATATGGTGCCCTTCCCTGACTGGAGCCATCGTGGTGGGCGCTTTTCGGCATGACTGGTTGAGGTGGGTTACCTGTACCTCTTCACCCTGGTCCAGCTGTTGCTTCGGTTCTGGCTCGGTTGGAGTCTTATCACGGGAGAGTCCTCTCCCGTGTTCCAGGGCACGGGTCTCTCGGGTTGTCTGCAGGGTCATTAAGTCTAGCCAGCCTGCCCTCTGCCCTCATGCTCATGATATTAGCAGGTATGCTGCTCTGGCCGCTGTGTTTGGGAACATGTCCTGGGCTGACATTTGGGTGTGGCGGTTTTGGAGGTCGACCAGGGTCCTGGCTGCCCGTTATTTTGTAAATGTTCCAGGGTCCAAGTCATTCTTGTTTGGCCTTGGGCCTCCTGTTGCAGCCAGTTGTCTTCGAGTTGAGGCACATTGTGCTGCCGCCTCCCAGGTAAGTCCGTCTTTTACTTATCTTTGGGTGTGTAGCTCCAGGGAGCCAATGGGGCTCTCCACAGAAAACCAGCATTGAATGTAATGAAATGTCATTTTTTGGGTGAGCCCCGGGGGCTTCCTGGCACCCTCCCTCCTCCTGGTTGGCGGTTTTGTTTTCGCTAGTTTAGCCTCTGAACTGAGGAGTAGGCTGCCAGTGTGTGGGTCTGGGACTTCCCCCTATCCCTCTGGTAGGGACTGCATGAACAAGCTTCGCACTGGATTAATGATGTTTCCTTGTCTGTTTTGGGAGAAGTTCTGGATCTCTGTTCAGTCTTAGGTTGCAATTTTTGGGATGCCTATCTTTCTTGGTGCCTAACCCCGGTCAGTGTCAGATGGAATACCTGTACGCCCAAAAACAGTAGGGTTTTCCTTGGGGTATTGCTCCCTGCGCCTCTCTGAGGGGGGCCAATTTATGGCTCGTGGTCCCCGGTAGGCAGAACTCCAATCGACTGAAGCCCCAGACTTATATCACTAATATCAGTCCAATAGCTCTAGGGAGCCTCTGGGGCTCACCCAGAAAATGGAGCTTCATTTCTTTCAATGCTAGTTTTTTAGTAGGCCTGCTCAAGTAAAGGGGCCTTGTAGTGTTTGATTGTTTTAAGCAATGGGAAGCTACTAATTGCCACTTGGAAAGGGGCATTTCATGACGTTTAACATATTATTTTTTGTATTTATTTTTTTTCTCAGGAGAGTGCTTCGGCTGGGGTCCTGGAATGGGTTACAGTCAAGAACTTCATGTGTCATGACCACTTGAATTTCACCTTTTCCTCGAACATCAACTTTGTACAAGTAAGTTGTACAGCAGATAATTTTAGTACTGTATAATTAATTACATAAAGAAAGTTATATCTAGATGTACCATATCAAAATTACTGAATCGTGTGTTTAATAGTGGCTTGTTGCAGGGTTGCTTTTGCTTGCTGCCCTTATCTAGAGTTAATTTTGTATTCCTGTTATTGTTGGCAACCTATTTTCCTTGTGGCTACCTTGTGTAGCTTCCGGAGATCAATGTCCCCAGGGCTCGGTCTCTGACCAGGTCTCCGGTTGGCCGTTTTTTCATCCAGGCTGCTGGATGTGGCTGCTCGCAGCCTGACGTATAAATCGCAGCCTGAACAACGGGCTATATTGACAAATGATGATTAAAACACAACAAATGGATGAATAATGTATAAAAGAATCATAAAGATACAGTTAATGCGCAGATATTGTAAGAAATGATGTAACCTAGTAATGCTTACAGTTAATGGTTTGTATTATACATATATATATCATAAGACTTAATTACCCTTAAGGGAGCCGGTCGGCCGAGTGGACAGCACGCTGGACACGTGATCCTGTGGTCCCGGGTTTGATCCCAGGCGCCGGCGAGAAACAATCGGCAGAGTTACCTAGCAGTAAATAGGTACCTGGGAGTTAGTCAGCTGTCATGGACTGCTTCCTGGGGGTGGAGGCCTGGTTGAGGACCGGGCCGCGGGGACACTAAATGCCCCGAAATCATCTCAAGATAACCTCAAGATATACCTTGTCTAAATCACTGAATATTGTGCCTTTCGTGTGATTGTAGGAAAGTACAGTTGAAACCAGTGTATCTGTGATGATTAAATTTATATCACAGCTTTCTGGTTGGGTACACATCACAAAATCTACATTATTTATCATTTACATTTTTGTTGTATAATGTACTGCACACTTATGTATTTGATTACCCCATACTCCTCCTTTGTTCAAGATGCAAAATTACCTAGCGATTGCTTCAGATCACCCGGTGAGTGCCCTTGAATATTCAGGGATTGTCCTAGTTCTCATTGTGTTTGCCCCCCCATTTTCCCTGTTGTGCGTGCCCCCAGTTTCCCTGTTGTGCGCGCCCCCAGTTTCCCTGTTGTGCGCGCCCCCAGTTTCCCTGTTGTGCGCGCCCCCAGTTTCCCTGTTGTGCGCGCGCCCAGTTTCCCTGTTGTGCGCGCCCCCAGTTTCCCTGTTGTGCGCGCCCCCATTTTCCCTGTTGTGTGCGTCCCCAGTTTCCCTGTTGTGCGCGCCCCCAGTTTCCCTGTTGTGCGCGCTCCCCGTTTCCCCTGGTGTGCGCGCTCCCCGTTTCCCCTGGTGTGCGCGCTCCCCGTTTCCCCTGGTGTGCGCGCTCCCCGTTTCCCCTGGTGAGTGCGCTCCCCGTTTCCCCTGGTGTGCGCGCTCCCCGTTTCCCCTGGTGTGCGCGCTCCCCGTTTCCCCTGGTGTGCGCGCTCCCCGTTTCCCCTGGTGTGCGCGCTCCCCGTTTCCCCTGGTGTGCGCGCTCCCCGTTTCCCCTGGTGTGCGCGCTCCCCGTTTCCCCTGGTGTGCGCGCTCCCCGTTTCCCCTGGTGTGCGCGCTCCCCGTTTCCCCTGGTGTGCGCGCTCCCCGTTTCCCCTGGTGTGCGCGCTCCCCGTTTCCCCTGGTGTGCGCGCTCCCCGTTTCCCCTGGTGAGTGCGCTCCCCGTTTCCCCTGGTGAGCGTGCTCCCCGTTTCCCCTGGTGTGCGCGCTCCCCGTTTCCCCTGGTGTGCGCGCTCCCCGTTTCCCCTGGTGTGTTCCAGGGAATCATATTCGGTGTCAGGGGTTTTGTGTTTTAACAGAGCCCTAGTGGCCAAGTATTTGACAAATGTTCCTGGTCCCAGTTGGTCATGTGTTGTTTTGGGCTGTGTCTACACAGTAAAATAACTTACTTTAGCAAACGATGTGAAAGAAAATGCAGAATAGAACCAGTAAATAGCAGGGTTGCCATAGGCACAATCAGAGAACACTGTATAAGCATCAGAGGTCCGTGGTTACTCAACATCCACTCAGCGAGTATGTATAAGAAATATTGCGGGAACAACTGTGGACATTTTCAAGAGAAAACTAGATAATTTTCTAAAAGGAGTCCCGGACTTACCGGGCTGTTGTGGATATTTGAGTCTGCGGGCTGCTCCAAGCAACAGCCTGTGGACCAAGCTCTCACAAGTCAAACCGGCCCTGGGCCAGGCTTGGGGAGTAGAAGGGCTCCCAGAACCCCATCCAGATACTATTCAGGTACATGTCTCCCAGCCTGGTTTCTCTTCTTGGTCTTATTGCCTGCCACCTCTCCTCCTTCCTGGTAAGTCCCATTTTTGCTTTCTGTGGTTAGTTAGCTTCAGGGAGCCACTGAGGGTCTTCCTTGAAATGCTCAGTATTAAATGTAATGAAATGCCTCTTTCTGGAGGAGTCCTGATTTTTCCCCTCCCCCTTCCTCCAGGTTTCTCGGTTCATTGTTGGGGTGTTCATCGGCTCCAAAACCGAGATGGAGGAGTTGGTCGAGACCTGGGACTGGGCCATCTGTTGGTGGTAATTAATACTAATGGGCTTAGGGTTAATTTAAGTGAATCCCATGGTCAGTGTGAATTGTCTTCTGAATTCTTTGGTGGTTTCGAGGCTTTGTTTTACGTAAATCCTCCAGTGTCTCTAAAGCTTCTCTAACATTTTTGGAGGCTTTTTCCGGTGGGGTGGCGGATTGTCACCCACCCACTCACTCCATGCGACTGTGAGGGAGGCCAGGTTCTGGCTCCGGTCCCTGGTAAGCCAAACAGAACTCCAGTGACTAATCTTTTAGTATGGAGCAATCTTGGGATGATAGCTTTCAGGGGGTCACCGGGGCTTCTCCATAAAGAGGCATTTCATTACATTCAACTCTGGGATTTTTAAAAGAATGACAAATTAAGAGAATGGCCTGCACTATCAACATCAATCATTACTGTAGCACTCTATGCTAGTGATACTAAACAGTTTCTTGGTCGTGTGTTTGTTGTTGTGTTGATTTAGGGGCGATGACGATTGTGGGATCGGATGCGCCCCGGCTGCCTGATACTGGGAAATAGCGGAGGGATGGGGTCCCTATAGTCTCTTCAGGCCATAGACCCTGCAATCTCCTCAGGCTACATATTTTAGTCTCTTCAGGCCACGGACATGACGGTTCAAGCGGAAGGTATGGCGAAGGATGTCATGACGGACGTCTTCATCTCTCGCACCTGCCCCGTCAAGGAGAACGGGAACTGTGAGGCGAGGAATATTTAGCCTACAAACGGCACTCTGTAGTCTGATGCGAGCGCTATGAAAACGAGGGCAGTGAAAGTGTTCCACTGTGTCCTCCTGGGTCAGACACCACTGGTCATGATCAATGGTGGTGCACTGGCGATAAAATTGCGTAGAAATTGCGTCTAATTAAAAAGGGAGCAAGCATTCCAAAACACCACAGTATTCTTAGGATGGGGTGCCATTATCCCTGAAATACAACAGCTAACTTTCTGACCACCTGTGCAGAGATGTCTCCAAAGGGGAAACCACTAGAAAAAGCCATAAAACCCTCATACAAAGTAAGTAAAATGTGTGGTATTAATGACAGCCAGTCCAGAGAATGTTGATCAATGCTTCTCTCTGCCTGACGGAAGCGGTGATCGGCTCGCGAACTCTTGACGACGCCTGTGACTGGTAGGTGCTTCACTCTGAGCCTCGTGTTCCACCGGTGTCACACTTCCCTGGGAAAGTGCCTGCGGGACCCAACCCGTTCTCGCAAATTTAATAAGTCAATATTGACTTATTAAATATGTGCATAGGTGACATACTTAACATAATAGTTTCCCTTGAAAAGCTTCATAGAAAACACCGACCTTACCTAACCTACTTAGTATGTTAAGATAAGCATCTTATTGCTTCGTAATTACAATTATTACCTAACCTATACCTATAATAGGTTAAGTAACAATTGTAATTACGAAGCTATAAGATGCTTATTTTAACATACTAAGTAGGTTAGGTAAGGTCGGTGTTTTCTATGAAGCTTTTCAAGGGAAACTATTATGTTTAGTATGTCACCTATGCACATATTTAATAAGTCAATATTGACTTATTAAATTTGCGAGAACGGGTTGCAGGACCAGAGGATCATCAGGGCTATCTGTTGGAGCAGTACCTCCTGATCGATGGGAGAGTCGACGACGCCAGTGTTGGCTTCTTTGGGGAGAGGCAGGAGGGTGACGAGTGCCAGGCTCCGCCCGAGACCGAGTGTCCATGTCTGTATCCGTGGATGAGTTTCCGTCCCTGTCAAGGCTATCCAGGAGGGAAAATCGATTAGCACCCTGGGCGTATGAGGCATGTGACTGGGACAGGCAAGAGCGTCTGCTAGTTTCTACTTGTGAAGAGGCCCGACCAGGGGGAGCCTGGAGGCGAGAAGAAGCGATAGGCTGATTGAGGGCGCGTAACCTCTGGAACAGTTCATGTCGAGGGGTTCCCGCTGTTTTATGATCGATGTCCAACTGGAGGGCCTCAAGATATACAAGGCAACTCTTGGACGTAACCTTGTGATGGCCATGGCATAAAAAGCAGCGAGATGCAGCAGAGCACCCACCGTTATCTCTGTCTGTATGGCTTGTTTTGCCGCAGTTTGCACAGCGTGCTGCATTACGGCAGGTGAGACGACTGTGGCCCAATAGATGACAAGCGTAACATCACAACACAAGGAAGTTGTAGGGCTGAACCTGATATGAGGTCCTGTGTAGTCTTTGATATTGATACTGTGTAGATACTTTGATATTTGGTCGTGTCTTTGATATTATGATTTAGATCTGTTTTCACAGTGCTGCATATAATGCATCATAAAATTGTGAAGTGAATAGGAAAGCTGGAGCAACAAGCAAGACCACACGGATATGAATTGAGATGGCAGAAATTGTAGCGGTGTGTTGATTGTTTATTATTGATACAGGTGTCGGCTGTATATGCAGTACTGTATTGTTGTACTTTATTTCTAATACGTTGAAGTATTTTATTTGCATATTGGTACTGGATAAGTCTATAGTTATCATGTTTTATTAAAATATCTTATGTGATTGATGTACCAAGTAATGTTACATTATGTCTTGCAGGGAAGAAATGGGAGTGGCAAGAGCGCAATTTTAACAGCAGTGGTAGTTGGCCTTGGAGGTAGTAGTCGTTTAACAAATAGAGGAAATAATCTTAAAGGTATGAAACTTCTACTGCAGTATATTTACTTCATTTAAAAAGGCAGCCGGATGCTTGGAGGTTATACATAAAACCTGGACTGGCTTCAGTAGGGCCTTCAGTCTTCCTGTTTGTTAAGTAGAATCCTAGGTTGTATAATTTATATAAGGTCAGGGTGGTACAGTGGTAGAGGTTCCGGCTGGCAGTCTGTTGGCCATGGGGTTCGAGTCACCTAAGAGCTCCAATTGATTTTCATCATCGTCCCCACTGCCATCATTTATTATTTATTATTTCAGTTATTATTAGTTATTATTATACAGTGGTACCTCGCATAACGATTGCCCCAAAAGACGAATATTTTGGGTAACGAACGGCCCGATCGGCGTCAAATCGTCCCGTATGACGAACGCTGGTTTGAGTAACGTCAACACCACATGGTGGGGTCGCGCTCCTGCTTGCACATTCTTAGACGCCTCCGACGATGCACATAAATTATGTTGTTCTTGTTTAAAGATGCTAATGATGCTGGGATATAAAAGGGTGACTGCTGAGATGTTGCAAAGCATTGACGTTTTTGTAGGAAAAAAGAATTGAAATATCTGATATACAACAAATGTCAAAAAAGTTCGTTCGGTGTTCGGCAGGTAGGCTGCTCCATTATAACAATCTTTCTTTGTTTCAAATGTGTTCCATTTGTTTTTTATTTGTCATTTACGTCTCAATAATGGAGAAGCCTACCTTACATACACTGAATAAACCATTATGACATTTTCCTTTCTTCAAATGTGTTCAATATTTATTTTTCATTTGTCTTATAGCAAAAGGTTCGTTCGGTGGTCGGCAGGTAGGCTGCTCCATGTTTCTTACATACAAAAAACGTAAATAATAAAAAAAAATGAAGAATTTTGAAAACCAGTACAAATGTCAAAAAGGTTCGTTCGGTGGTCTACAGGTCGACTGCTCCATGTTTCTTAAAAAAAAAAAAAAAAAAAAAAAAAATAAAAGAACTGTTGAAACAATTTGGAAAATGGACAAATGTCATAAAGGTTCGTTCAGTGTTTGTCGGGTAGGCTGCTCCATTATTGAGACGTAAGTGATAAATACAAAACAAATGGAACACATTTGAAACAAAGAAAGATTGTCATAATGGAGCAGCCTACCCAACAAACACTGTACGAACCTTTTGCTATAACGAATATGAAAGACAAGGGCTGCTGGCTGGGTTAGTAGTGCGTGAGCAACCATTTGTAGCACACGTGCCTCTGGCTCTCAAACACCTGTCCCACACGGTGTTGAAAGACTGTACTCAGTCAGTGCAATTCAGACCCTATTGTTTGAAGAACATAAGGGTCATAACATTGGTGAAGCTAGGCGCAATAAGGGCTTAACACAACGGTCGGATGCCTGTGATACAGCACCTGTGAGGATGATACAGCGAGCGTATCCAGGTGTAGCTCTGAGCCCCACCCTTGCCATCTCTAATGTATATAGATGATACATAGATGAATCGTTTTCTGCGTTCAGTGATGATGCATCTGATACAAGTAGCATAGATGAACAGTGTTAGCGGCTTCCATGGTGGAGGTGTTCATTGATAGTTTTAAGAATACCTAAATCTTTTCCTGACTGATGGACACTCTTTGAGGCTAGCTGAATCTCTTCCTGACTGATGGACACTCTTTGAGGCTAGCTGAATCTCTTCCTGTGTGGGACCTTACAAAGCGATCTTTTCAAGACTACCTTACAAATTGAGCTTTTCCTATAATCGTTTCAATACTACTTTATGCTTTACAAGCTTGGCTACATACCACCTACAAGTACTAAAGCCAAGGGTGCACGCGAGTGCATTATTTGCAAGCACACAGAACGATGAAACAGGAAACAAAAATCTATCTGTAGCTGGTGCAAGGAGAGCAAAGTCGCGCTGTGTACCATGGACTACTTCGTTGACTATTACGCACCTCCAAAGTACTGAGTGTGTAATACAGTGTGTTACTGTGTAAATAGTATGTGAAACTGTACATATTGTAATATTAGTGAATTTTTACCACGTAATATTGTGACAATAAACATTTATTGTGGACACATTACTGACACATGTATCACAGTTTCATGGAAAATTATGAACATTCTACTGTATACATATTGTAAAGGTCACAAATATGCATCATATACGATAAAAGAAACAAATAAAACCGCATTGGAAATGCATAGGAAAAATATTTGAAAATATATTTGTGGCAACACGCGGTGCTTGAATGGCCTGCGCGACCGTGTCTGGGAGCTTCACACACGGGCGACCAGCCCCTGATGACGTCACAGCGCACCTTGTCCACGCCCTCACAGCCAAAGTAAGTGGAATTTGGTAATTATCTTTACATAGACATGTTCAGGGACGGTAATTTATCATTTTACAAAGAAAAATTATATTTTGGGGAACATTTGATGTCATGCACACTAGGGAAATTTCACAATAAACACAGTGCATCACATTGGTTACATGGGAGACACTCGTTTTGTATGACGTCCGTTTCGCATGACGAACATGGAACGGATTAAATTCGTTATGCGAGGTACCACTGTATTTCTAATTTTGTACTCATCAGCCATTTTGCTTACTCTTTAACTTATTGTTCAATCCCCGACTGTCCAAGTGGAATGGTGCCCAACCTCTTGGGCATCATTCCTTATCACCTGTCCCATCCTAAATCCTTGTCCTAATCCCTTCCAAGTGATATATAGTCGTAATGACTTGCCACTTTCTCCTGATAGTATTTATCTTCCCTTCAATGTATTGATTGTCATTATCTCACCATTTACCTCACTGTGATCTATTAGTAATAATGATTACCATTTCTGCAGAACTTGTGAAGTATGGAAAACAAATAGCCACAATCGAGATTGGAATAAAAAACTCTGGGAGAGATGCCTTCAAGCACGAATTGTTTGGTGACTCGATTGTTGTTGAACGCAAGATACACAGTAATGGTGGAGGAGGATACAAGATAAAGGCTAAAAATGGTAACTGGTGTTTAATGAGCAAGTTGAGTTTGTTTGCATGTGCTTTGCTGCTTGTCTACTCGGAGTGAGTTTCAGCTCCAGAGCTCTGCCTCCTAACTATTGCACCTGTTACATCTTTACCTTTGACATTCCAGTATGGTTGTGCAGCTCGTCCTCCAAAAATGGGGTGGTAGATGTAAGAAGACAAATAAGTGCAATTATGTACTATTCATAGCAGTTAGGAATTGTACTTATTTTCACTTAGTAATAAATCGTACTGTCAAATATATTGTGAATATTTGAGTTTACCTGAAAAACTGAATAGAAAACCACAACCTTACCTAACCGTCTTAGTTTTTGAAGATAATAATTTTATTGCTTCTTAATTACAATTAGTACTTAACTTATAGCTACAGTATATTGATATTACAGTTTTATAAAACTAATAAAACAAAACTAAAATATATCAATAAATTATAAAGTAACTCAGGATATTTTAAAACTTTGTATAAAATCTACATTATTTAATAAACCTGAAAAAGAAATTCCTGATATTTAAGACTTGTGACTTGCTAATCTAAATTGAAAACTTCATCCTAAAATTCTGAGTGTCTTAACAGAAAACGAGGAGAATTAAATCGGGGGAGGGAGTTTGGTAAATGTAACAGCCCCATAAGTACAATTATGCACTGTTTATGACAGTAAGAAAGTGTACTTATTGCATTTAGTATTAAATCGTACTGTCAATTCGGAGGATGGGTTGCAACCGGTTGTGTGTGCTTTTGAAGCTGTGAATTGTTAGAGTTCATTACCTTTGCTTGTCTTGCTGCATAATATTTTTTTTACATTTCTTTGGCTCATCCATGTTTTAAAATTCCCCCGTGCTCCCTAATTCTGTCTCATCTGCGTAAGACTTTTTTTCCACATTGTCTATTGCTTTCAGTATCCTGTATACTTGAAGGGGTACCTGGCATTGCCCCCATCCCCTATTCTGCCTCTTTTTCTTTCCCCATCTCTCCCAACTCCTTATTCCACGCCTCTTCTTTCCCCCTCTCCCCACATCCTCACCTCATCCCCCATCTTCCCTCCCCTTTCCCCCCTTCTCCTCCCTTTCTTTCCCCACTTCTTCTATCCCTCTTTCCTGTCTGGCCTCCAACCTTGATCATACAGACATTTCCAGTTAGGTATGGTAAGAATTAAGAACATAAAGCAAATACAGGTTATAAGACACAATGAGATCTACCCATAGTAAAGTAGGAAAGCAACATGTGAAGGATCTGAACATTAATGGTGTCTGATGATCTACTGTTTAGGGAGCATAACCAAGAAAATATTGCATCAGCTAGAAAAATGACAAGATGGATTGAGCACCTTAAAATCCAGGTATTGCATCACATTGCTCATACTATTCTAATCACTTGCATTGTTCTGCCTTGAGTAATGGTTCCCATGTAAAACTTAGCAAATAGGACACTAAGGGGGGAACCTATAACAACGCCATGTATGGTACTTGTTTATACATGTGCCCATCAGGACTTGGTAAGAGTGCCTTATTTGGTACATGCTTTGAGTACCTCCGTAAGTGTACCTTCTTGGATGTCAAGGGGAGTACAAACTGGATCCTGATAAATTCTTTCCTTCATTCCAATAGTCTCATCCATGGGCACATTGGTGAACAGCAACTCTACATCAAAGAACATACTGTTAATTTAGCAGTATGTTAGAATACATAGTCCTGGTGCAATGTAGTCTTGTCTAATGAGTTGGGAAGCATTTGGTTGAATTTGAGCAGATACAGTGCTTCTGTATGATGTTCAAGAATGTAAGAACTCTTGTATGTATAAATAAATAAATAAAAAATAAAAATAAATACAGTACTGTACCGTGCAAATTGTTTGTTCTGTGGCAGATCATTTTCATGCATTTTAGAGATGCCCAGAATTATAGCCAGTAATTAGCAGTTAACTCACTTGATAGAGCCTGGGTTTAGTTCCCAAGCAGGACGAGACATTTTGCCACATTTCCTTATGCTTAAAGCAGCTGTTCACCTGCAGTAAATAGGTAACTATGGGTTGGGCAACTGTTGTGGCTTGCGTCCTGGGGAAGACCACTTGTTGGCCTAATGTGACTTTGAGATGCCTCTCAAAAGTAAACTTGTAGCTATGAATAAATGTCAAATTATAAATCTGGCATTTTCTTAGGTACTATTGTCTCGGTGAAGAAGGATGAAATGCAAAGAATGTTAGACCACTTCAACCTGCAAGTTGATAACCCTATCACTGTTCTCAATCAAGATATGTCTCGAGCGTTCCTGAAATCTACGGTAAGATGAACATTGGATGTAAATAGGCTAGTTTAGTCTGTGGATATACACATTCTTAAACCACGGTATTTGCTTTCCCACCTAATAGCAGCCTTAGCATCTCCAAGATAATTGGCCAGTCATTTGGATGTACAGTATTGTATTCATAATGGTTCAGAATTTGGAGATCTTACCTCTTTGCAGAAAGGTATAAAATAGAAACTGGAATGACACTTTAGGTTTGTTGCATTGACTTAAGTTATTGATGGACATTATAAAGTAAGCACCAAGGGGTTGTAAGGTATCAAAGATAAAAATTGAATTAGTAAGTATTTCACATTTTACTGTTCCTTGTCAAATATTCTAATGAATTGTGTGTGACAAGTACAGTGGAATCCTGCTTAAATGGATCGGTTTGTTAAAGACTCCATCGTGTCCAATTTTTGCTATTTCATTTATTATAATAATGCTAAAATTATAGTATTTATTTTTGTAGACAATGGACAATTTTTTTTTGTGCATACAGTTGTTTTATACCAAATCACTTAACCCTTGTACTGAGCATCACATTCTTATATGTTTGACTAGTGGTGTGGATCACATCTCAAAATATTTTTAGTGCCGTGCAAAATTTGAAACTATTGCAGGTTCATGGGGGACACATCTGGTTCTCAGGTGTTCAATAAGCATACCCCATCTTAGGAAAACATCCTGAGTATGTTACCTTGGCTAAAGGCCAATACTATCAAGAGAACAATGTATGGGCAATGAATGTGTGTGTCTAGTTCCCAACCCGGTCGTGCAGCTCTGTTGATATTTTCACTTACAGATGAAATTAATAGTCTTGGATGAATTTATTTGAATTTACCCAAGGGCCAACCATTTATCTAGGGGCTTAGTGAGGGACAGGAAGCTGGTAGTTTGTCAAAGGCCTCCAAGGGCCCCCCTCCCCCTCCTCTTAACTGGCCTTTGAACTGCAGTAATGTCTTGGCATTTACTGATTAAGCAGGTATGTAGTTGTATGGGTTTACAACCCTGGGGGAAAACCATATGCTGTTTTCTGTCATATATTGGGGCTTGTTGAGCTAGAAGATGTTGCCCTTGTGTGTGTTAAGTTTGACCTTTTTAAAGAAGTGATCTAGATGAATATTCTCCAACTTGTTCAGTATTTTCAAGGTTTTAATGAGATCAGCCCAGTCGTGTCTGGTCTGCAGTATTGTTAGCCCTATGGCCCTTAACCATTCCTGGTATGAGAGTGAATTTAGTTGTGGGATGATTTTTGTTGCTCTGTAGTAAAAAATCATGCATCATAGGGGTTGCACCAGATATCTGTACAATTGAATAATCATTTTATTTTCTTGAAGTAAAAGGTTCATTTGACTATTCCTAGGGGTATGGTTGGGTTTTTTACTGCAGCTCCTTCCCGTTTGTGCAACTTTTAATGACTGGTGGCTTCTGACTCCTAGGTGCTTTTCTATATCAAGTTGCTGCATGGTAGTGAGGTTGTTTTCATAGTTGGATGTGTAATGTTATGCCCTACATGCAAGGTCTTGTAGTATTCAATATTAAATGGCATTTGCCAGTCTTTTGACAATTTGTGGAGTTATGTAGATCTCTTTGCAAGGCCTCGATGTAATTTTTGTTTCCTATTTTACCATAGATCTTAATATCATCTGCGAATTTTGATTTGGTTTATAATATTCTCGTGTATGCCATTGATGCGTGTGGCAAAAAGGTCTGGTCGCAAAAATGGAATTTTGCGGTGCCCCACTCACCCCATTTCTCCAGTCGTATTCATTTCCATTTAGGACAACCCTTTGCCTTCTTTGTTTTAACCATTGTTTTATCCATTCTAGCAATTTCTCGTTTATTTCACATGCTTTTATTTTCCTTGCCAGTCTCATGTGGTTCCTTATCACCGAGTCGGGTATGGGGTACCAAAAAAAGAGAAAGCATTAACTTTTTCGTAAGTGATTATTGATATCAGAATGTTCTAAAAAAACATGTTGCAGCATTTGATCTGTTAAATTTCAATAATGATTGGCCAACAATAGTGAAAAGTAGCAAAAATAGTAATTCTTGTCAAGAAATATCTACTCTTATTTGCAACTGAACTCTGGTTACGATAAACTCTAAAACAAACCAATTTGTTCCAGGCAAGTTGCACTATTTAAGATCTTTGCGGAATGTTGACTATAAGCAAGTTTATGCTAACTTGAGAGCAAGTTAGCATTTGTTATTTCATTGATAATGAATGTATTGTATGGTTTCAGGACCCACAAGCACTGTACCAATTTTTCCTGAAGGCTACACAGTTGCAGCAAATGAAAGAAGATTACAATCAACTGGACAAAGCTCTCAACATATCTCTTACTCTTATTCGGGAGCGGAAGGAGGTAAGTTATATGGTTATTAGAAATAAGTGATAAAAATAATCATTAATGCACTGTTTACTACCCATTGCAAACTTTCTTTAAAATGCTTACAAATCAAGCATTGTTGGCCTAACAATGCCAAATAATATAGCATTGTTCAGCATTGATTCCGTAATAAAAATAATTGTTTCAAGTTGAATATTATACAATTTCATAACATAAAACACCCAAGACTGACTGTAATGAAGTGTATCTTTTTGGAGGAGTCCCAGTGGCTTCCTGGGGCCCACTGGGGCTCCGTGTTTGTTTATAAAAACATGTGTACCTTCATGCACATGATACTTCTGCCTTAGGTTGTAGTGTGTCTGTACCTTCATGGGTTAAGGAAATGTAATTGCCTTGTTTTGTTTCCACATAGGTATGGATTTACCTAAACTGCCTTAGTTTACAAAACAAAGTTATTTGCAATATTAAAAGTTGTTTTTTTCCTTGGACACTTTCAGATTCTACCATTGCTTAAGAAGGAGGTAGATGAACATCGTGCCCAGTATGAATTTTCTTCTATCTTTGCTAGTAAAATGAAAAAGAAGGTGCAGGATTTGCGGAAAGAATTAGTGTGGGCATTGGTAAGTATCGTGTCGTAAGTTTGAAGTCTGATGGTATTCCCACAGTGTATTTTGCAAGAAGGAAAAAATATTTAGTATTCAGTATAAAAATAAAAGAATCATCTGTTAAACAGTTTTGAACTGTTTTTCATTGTGAATTTATCTCTACACCTGGTATATACAGTATTTATTTATTTACATTATTTTATGTAATTACCTAACTGTAATTATCCAAGCCTACCTTCTCTCCGTGAATCTTGCCGATTTCTGTTTTGTTTAACTCTCTGAATGTTTTCTTGGTTAGTGATCATAACAATCTCCAGCTCCCTGAGCCACTGTTAGGGGACCAGGTTCTCGATTTGGTGTCCGGTAGGCCATTAAATCCTCTTAAGGCTGATGTAACTACCTACAACTCATTCTTCTGTTTAGATAGTACTTTTTGTGACTATATGCACCATCGTACAAACATTGATGTACTAAAGAATTAGTAGGATTTTCTGTGGAGACTCCCTCCGGCTTCCCGGAGCTTACCAGGCTATATATGTATTGGACCATGGCATCAGTCAATTCAATTGGAGTTCTTGTCTATTGGGGACCAGGAGCAAGAACCTGGCCCCACTCAGGGGCACGAGGATCACTGGCCTATAGAAACCTCCATGTGGTTGGGAGCATTTCATATCTGTCATCAACCGGGTTTAGGCAACCAGAAAGGTAGGCATCCCAAAACAAACTCCACCTGCTTCAAAATTCCTACCGAAAACCGAACTATCAAGCAGAACTCCCAAATCCGAAAACAAGCAAACAAGCATGATGTTACAACCGCCGCCGCGCCACTGTCTGTGCAACTCCCCCCCCCCCCCCCCCCTCCCTGAGAGGGGGAAGAGGAAGCCCTAAACCCCTGCACTGGCCATACAACCCCAGTTCTGAGGCTGATGTGTTGAGTGGCTGTCGTTAAACTCTGGCTCCTGGTTCTGTGCAGTGCTGTACCTTTGCGGCGTTCAGCGAGCCACGAGTAATTCACGGAATACTGGGGCTACATGCACCTAGGGCCATCTTCCCTAGGTGCCCTGTAAGTACTGCCCTTGCAGCTTGGGGTTATCTTCCACAAGTCATTTGGGAATTACCTCCATAAGGATCTTTTTGCTGCTCGGTGATTGCCCACCCATGGGGTCGGCTGGGGTTTTCATAGTCGCTGTTTGACCTTGGGTAGGAGGTAGTATTGTCACTGGTAGGGGTGCAAGGTACTGTGTAGCTTATCACCTGTTGTCACAGTGGCGGGTTCTGTTCCTCCTGGAGACATACTTTTGCTGGGTTTTTCTTTTTCTTTTTGTTTGTTGCCTGGGGGGGGGGGAGTCTGCCCCATGGTTCACCCTGTTATTTTGGTGGTCCCCTGCTAGGTCCCCGTGATTGTAAAAGTCACAGGGGTTCAGCTTTAATTATTCTCAGTAGTTTGGGCCAACCGGATAGCAGTACCTTGCCTGGACTTTCCTTTGCAGTCAGTCTAAGGGCCCTGGAAAACCCCATTGGGGCTGATTGGTTTGATGGATGCGTCCTCTGTGTCCCATCTTGCCTTGTGCAAGTTCGAAGGTTGCTCTGTCCCCTTGTCTCGGGGTGATATTCACTGGTTTTGTCTCCGTCATGTTGCCTGTTGGGCTGATGATACTTTGACCCGGAGTCCTGCGAGTGGTGTTCCTTGTTGGTGCTCCAATTCACCCAGTCCACAAATACTGATAATCGGGTGTAGGCAGGTTTGGCGTTGCATGCAAAGTTTCGGTTGCTGCAATGCGCTAGGTTGGTTGCTTCTCCGGATTACCCACAGCTGCCCCGCTTTGGTTAGAGGGTCCTGGACTTGGGAGCATTAGTCGCTTCGACTTTGGTGTTTATCCACTCTCCCTCATCCTTTCCCTGCTGTTGTTTGTCCTGTTTCTCCCCCCCCTTCCTCCTCCCTCCATGCTGCTGGCTCCCAAACATCTGAGGGTTTTGGAGTTGGGGCAGGGTTTAGATGTTGATAAGACTCAAACAGTCTCAGGGGCTGCCCCATCTGATTTGGCGAAGGAGGCATTCTAGTCTGCTCCTCTGGCTGGGACGTTGGAGTCTGACCAGCGGGCTCCCCAGCTTTTCCAGTGGACTCTGTCTTTTCTTTAGAGGCGGAGGGTTTGGAGGACGGCTCTGCCTCAGCCCCATTTGGCCCCGCTTAGGTGTTGGTACCCTTAATGCAGGGGCTTATTGTTGCAAGGGGGTAGGGAGGAGGGATTTTCTTACCCCCCTCCTTGCACGAATTTGATACGAGTTCTGCTCCTCGGGTTCTTCGGTCCCTTCTTTCCGGAGGTTTTTGGCTTCCCTCATCCCATCTAAGGAGATACGAGAGGCCATTGCGGTGTACCTCCTGCATGACCCGGATTTTGCCGCAATAATAGACCCTGCCTCGTTTGAGTTCGGCTCTGCTTTTCCTTATTGGGTGTGTTATGAGGTGCTGGAGTCACCCTGGTTGGCAGACTACCCTTTCTTTTCTTTGGGGCATGGCACTCGTTCTGTCAGACCCGCATGGTTGAATGACGAGAAACTTCTTTGGGTTTTTTGAGTTTTCAGGTTTACCTGGGGGGGGGGGCGAGTTGGAGCACCTCAATGAGTGCTTATTTGCCCCCATTCTTCCTAAGGATATTGGGCAGGTGCAGGTTTCTGTCCTTTCGGTGTCCCTGGTAGCTGAGGATTTGTGCGCCCAGTGGCACTAGGCTTCGGTTTTGCGTTTCATTTTCCTGCTCGAGCTGTCTTTGGGACTGGCTTGAGGAGGATGTGGAAGTGTTGGGTGCCGGCCGGTGTCAGGTGCGCTTGCCTCGGCAGTTTGGGCGTCGGCTTCCTTGTTAAAGTTGTTTGCACCAATTCTGAAGGAGGTGGTGTCGTCTCTATTTTTTCTTCTCACCTCGCGTGCCAGCAGGCTGTGCTTGCTTGCTTCCTGGAATCCGTATGGGCCCTTGCTCTTAGGTTTTCGTCGCCCTTTTGGCCTTTGCCGTTTGCAGATTCTGTGGTTGTGCAGTATCTGCAGGCAGCTTCGTCTTGCTGCTGCCCTATGTCTGACTTTTTGGTTCTCCGGGGTGGCCGTGGGCGTCTTTTCTGGAGGGGTCGTGCCAGGATTCGGTATTCCTTCGGTCGTGGTAGGCCAGTGGTGCCAATTTCAGAATCGGTTACCTTCGGAGCTGGTAGCATTTGGTCAGTGCATTGTTGGCTCTGCGCATCAGTCTGCTTCTCGTAAGGGGCATCGGCCCTTTCGTGGGTCACCCTGTTAATATAACACTTTCGTGCTTTGGGCCCCAAGCCCCGTGCTACCTCAGGTGGGTTTGGGCGTTTCCGGCGGAGCTCGAGGGAAAGTGCGGTAATTCTGAAAAGTGTATACTCTTTTCAACTTTGTTGCCTCAATTCTCGTCCTAAGATATTCAATTTGGTATCAATGTGTTCGCAATAGAATTCTCTACAGGACTAAATGCATATAAAGCCCAAAAGCCCGGCAAGAAAGGGAGAAAGTGAGTGTGTGTTACCTGGGAGCGCGCAAGAGCAATGAAATGTGTATACCCTCTTTGGACATCTTAATTCTCGTCCTAGGTCTTTCATTTTGGTATCATTATGTTCGCAATAGAATTCCCTACATGGGTATATATGCATATAATGTCCAAAAACCCGGCGTACCACCCACAGCAAACAGAGAAAGTGACAGAGCGTTACCCCAGTGAGCACCAATAAAGAGCAATAAAATGGGTATACTCTTTTCAACTTTATCTCAATTCTGATCCTAGGTCTTTCATTTTAGTATCAATGTATTTGCAATGAAATTCCCTATAAGAGTATATGCATATAAAGTCCAAAATCGCAGCAAGACCTTCCCGTGAGGGTTGGGGCTCACTCCTTGTCCCATGATTTTTGGGCGTTTCGGGTCGTTTCCTTTGGCCTGCAGTGGCGATGGGTGGCTCCTCCTCCTTTGGGGAGTTCAGTGTTTGCTGGGCAGTCCTCTTCTGCGCTGTGTCAGGTCATCCTGGAGTAGGTACGTTTCGATGTGGTCGAAATGACCTCATCCCTCAGGTGGGTTTCCCACCCGTTTCCAATCTGGAAACGGGACTGTGTGTGCAGGTCTGGGGTTCATTCTGGACTTGTGCCGTCTGAACCCCTAGGTCTTTTGCCCCTCCTTTCGGGTGATCACTCTGCCCCAGGTCTGGTTGCTTTTGGAGCCGGGCACTTGGATGGCGATGATCCCCTTCTCCCTCCCAGGGAGGAAATGGGTTGCGCAGACAGCAGCGTGGCAATGTGATGACGTCATGCTTGTTTACTAATTTTTGTTGGGGAGTTCTGTCCACTTGTTCGGTTTTCGGTAGCAATATTTTTACCAGAATAGGGGTTTGTTTTGGGGTGCCTATGTTTCTGGGTGCCAGACCCGGTCGATGGCAAAAATAGAATGCTCCCAATCACATGGGGGTTTCTATAGGCCATTTCTCCTTGTGCCCCTCTGAGGGGGTCAGGTTCTGGCTCGTGGTTCCGGTAGGCAAGAACTCCATGCACTTTGATGTCAGAAAGCTAATAGTTACATATCAGGCTGGATAGCTCCAGGGAGCCAAAGGGGCTCCCCTCAGAATAGATGTTATATCCACTGGCAAAAAAGTAATTTCTTGACTTTATGAAGATTGTCAGTATCTCACTTTTAAAGCTTAAGTTCTCAACCACAGATCCTGAGAGGCTTTTGATCTTTTTATCAGGTTATACGAGCAGAAAAGGAGGAACAAAATGCTCGTGAAGAACTTGAACAACATGAAAGCAAAGTAGCTGCAGTTCAAGAGAAGATTAATAACTTTCGTGCAAAGTATGAGGAGGAAAAACGACTACACAGGTAAGTGGATTGGTTTGTGCTGCATTACACACTCAAGAACAATCTGTTCAAGGAAACAGAACAGATTTATTTTGTACACAAATTTGTAGTATAATCTTAGGAATAGAAGATTAAACTTCAATCATAGGAGCATCTTCGATGTTTAACTCCTTAACTGCGCGGCCTCCAAATATGACACCCCCCCCCAGTGCGCAGGAAATAAAATCTCTGGAAAAAAATTATTTTCTGTTTTTAGTGTCAAAAAAACTTCCCTGAGTAAGGGTATAATAACAGAAGGTCAAAGTTGTAAGTACTTTAGCTGCTATGGGGTCCGTAAGTTAGTGCGTGACGTCATCATTCCCTGGTTGTCTGTGGCATATGCCCCGGTGTCGGTAGGGCGCTCGGGGCAGGATGCCCGAGTTGCCGCGAATATATTTTTGTTCATTTTCTGCGCACAGTTCCAAATACATTTTATACGCTTTTACGTGCCAATCCTATGTACTGTATAACGAACATGTATACTATTATTATTATGGCAATAGAACATCCGTATTGTCCGAAGACACTGTGTTATGTGCATGACACATGTGTACACATATCCAGAACATATTTCCATTATATTATGCTAATTTATGTATATATATAGTCTATTTACACACTATACGCTATCACACTATATATATACATTCACCATGAACACACTCAACTCCGCAAATGTCAGCTGCCACACCCTCACTCCTCCAACATCCAGGAGGGATGTTGGAGGATGAACACTCCCTCACTCCTCCAACTTCTTACTCGCCAACATTGCTCCTCCCATCATATTGTTATTGTTTGTATTACACTATTTACACATTTTATGTATACCTATCTACATGTTTTATTCACCAGAACTATACAAGTAAGCCAATATTGTGTCCAAACTTTACAATGGCCACCATACACTGCATGAGAAATCACACAGCAGCCAGCAGACGACGCTACGATTATGTCACCTCCCTCGCCAAAATAGCTCCTCCCAACATTCTCCTGTTGCTGTTACTACACACATTGTATATACCCATGTACAAATGTGTTCACCATAGAGAACCACTAAGCTAGTATGATGAGCAAAACAAGAGTGGCTGTCACACAGGGAGGCTACCTCGATTCTCTCCCTCGCTCCCTCACCACAATTACTCCTCCCACAATACTACGCACAGTGCTTATTATCACCACAATCGTGCTATTATCACAATACTGGTCACTAAATCCTGTAAATACATAATTGACCAAGTTTATTTTGTAAAGGAACCTAAGACGTCGTTTGAAGAATTCTAGATGGACGAAATAATGCTGTGGTGCTGTAGCGCTGTGAACATCGTGAACAGCATTGAATTACTAATATTTGAACATTGTACACAGTCATTATCACACCCAGGCTCTTCTGTAATGCTATCATGGCTAAATAATACAAGTTATATATATATTTTGACATTAGGCGATGCTGTGGTCTTAACACTATTGCCGGCGCCATGCGCGCTCGGCAAACTGTGACGTTATGGGGCCAATGGTGCGGGCGAGCGTGCGGCGACGCCTAAATGTGTATACTCGTTTCAGTTTTCTCACCTTAATTCTTGTGCTACGTCAATCGTTTTGGTATCATTGTGTTCGCAATTAAATTCCCTGCAGATGTATATGCATATAATGTCCAATAGCCTGGCAAGACTCCACCACAGCAAAGCCTAAAGTCGGAAAAGTTACCCATGAATGCACAAAATCAGTAAAATGTTTATACTCGTTTCAGTTTTCTCACCTTAATTCTCATGCTACGTCGCTCGTTTTAGTATCATTGTGTTCGCAAATGAATTCCCTACAGGTGTATATGAATATAATGTACTAAAGCCTGGCGTGCCTCCCCACAGGAAAGCCTAAAGTTACTCGTAAACGAGCACCAATTTGTACACTGCAACCTAATGTGTATACTCATTCAGTTTGATAACATCAATTTTCTTGTTACATCTTTCATTTTGGTATCAAAATGTTCGCAATAAAAAGGATAGAGCAATAACTGCACAATATTTTAATTCTTAAAGTATTTTAAAACTAGTCTCATAAAGATAGAGCAATAACTGGAATTTTAACACAATATTTTAATTCTTAAAGCTCATCATCATAATTATTTATATCTTTCCAGTGTTCTGACATAAATTTTTGTGTTACATCTTTCATTTTGGTATCAAATTGTTCGTGATGTAAAGGCACGCATTTTAAAACTAGTCATCACAATAAATAGAATTTTAACAAATATTTAAAAATTTTGACCAAAAATCTATTTATAATCATATAAGTGTTCGGACATCAAGTTTCATGTTACATCTTTCATTTTGGTATCAAATTGTGCGCATTCTAAAGGCGCGTATTTTGATACTACCCCGAGGTTGATTGCATAAAAGAATTTTATACAAATATTTTTGTAGTGGACGCAAGTCCGGTCCAAAGCTAGGATTCAAGAGAAAAATAATGGACGCGAGTCCGGTCCAAAGAGACTGATAGTGCAACCCGTTCTCGCAAATTTAATAAGTCAATATTGACTTATTAAATATGTGCATAGGTGACATACTTAACATAATAGTTTCCCTTGAAAAGCTTCATAGAAAACACCGACCTTGCCTAACCTACTTAGTATGTTAAGATAAGCATCTTATTGCTTCGTAATTACAATTATTACCTAACCTATACCTATAATAGGTTAAGTAACAGTTGTAATTACGAAGCTATAAGATGCTTATTTTAACATACTAAGTAGGTTAGGTAAGGTCGGTGTTTTCTATGAAGCTTTTCAAGGGAAACTATTATGTTTAGTATGTCACCTATGCACGCAACTAATAAGTCAATATTGACTTATTAAATTTGCGAGAACGGGTTGAATAGTGTCAAGCTGAACAGCAGTGATGTGAACTCATGCTGCGTGCACCGGCCTTAGTTGCTCACTCACTACTGAGGCTCTCACACCCTGGGAATGTGGACCACGATTTTTTTTAAAGATGGCGTCTGTTTACAAGAGCGCTGAGGAAGCTGATGTGAACCCCATGTAGCCGCAGGAGTTTTGAAAGGAGCGTGAAAAATACAAATACCTGGAGGCGCGTAGTGCACCCCAGACGTGGGCCTGCAGGCGTGTTGTGCAGTTAAAGGGTTAATCTTAGGAATAATAGTGATAGCATAAGAGGTGGCTGGGGCGAGCATGGTCATATGAGGTGGCTGGGGTGAGCATGGTCATAAGAGGTGGCTGGGGCGAGCATGGTCATAAGAGGTGGCTGGGACGAGCATGGTCATAAGAGGTGGCTGGGACGAGCATGGTCATAAGAGGTGGCTGGGACGAGCATGGTCATAAGAGGTGGCTGGGACGAGCATGGTCATAAGAGGTGGCTGGGGCGAGCATGGTCATATGAGGTGGCTGGGGTGAGCATGGTCATAAGAGGTGGCTGGGGCGAGCATGGTCATAAGAGGTGGCTGGGGCGAGCATGGTCATAAGAGGTGACTGGGACGAGCATGGTCATAAGAGGTGGCTGGGGCGAGCATGGTCATAAGAGGTGGCTGGGGCGAGCATGGTCATAAGAGGTGGCTGGGGCGAGCATGGTCATAAGAGGTGGCTGGGGCGAGCATGGTCATAAGAGGTGACTGGGACGAGCATGGTCATAAGAGGTTACTAGGACTAGCTAAAACTAATCTTTAAAACTAGTCCCATAATAATGGAACAATAAATGGAATTTTAACATTTTAATTTCTGATGCAAAATGCATCCCGCTGAACATCTGTAAGATTATTAATGGACACAAACTGCATCGCCGCCGGACGAAAGTATTAAGCTGCCACTACCCTGAGTTACCAGACAGGGGACTGGGAAAAGATGTAAGGACATGTGGATATTAATATCCTTCCAGGACAGGTTAGGCAATGAATTATTGGTAAAAGGATCCTTGCCTGGTGCTTGAATAATCCTGAAATCACTTAGGTTTACTATAAAGAATAACAGGAGCAGTGCTGAACACTAGTATTGATACATCTTAATGAACTGAAGGGAAAAGGGATACCGTACTTACTTCCACAGTGAATTCCATTCGACCTTGAGGTACTTGATGTTTGACCCCAAGAATCTTGGATCACACCCCAACACACTCCCAACAGTTCTCACTCTGTCGATTCTCATTTAAACTTGCTCTTCTATTCATCTCATACGGGCATGTTATCCTCGGCCCTCTTTTGATGTGGAAGTAGTGATTCTCGTGGATTAGTAGGGCAACATCATCACTGAAGGTGGTCACCTATGTGACCACTTTCACCATTGACCCGAGTTGACATGGCCCTTGTGCTTAACTGAGGTGTGAATTTCCATTGTGTACAGCCAACTTTTAAGAGACGCTTAACCGTTGCAACTATTACTGTTCTGCTGTGTATGGCTCTTTTTGTTATGCAATTTTTCTGGGGGGAGCCCTGTCGGCTCCCCAGAGTTATTCAGGCTGATATGCTAATGTCACTTTGGCATCAGTCATGTGTATGGAGTTCTGTGGGCCTATCGGGAACCACGAGCCAGAAGCTGGCCCCCTCAGAGAGGCAAGAGGAGCAATGGCCTATAGAAACCCCCGTGTGGTTGGAAGCATTCTATGTCTGCCATCGACTGGATCGGGCACCCAGAAAGGTAAGTGTCCCAAAACAAACCCCTATTCCGGTTAAAATTGCTAGCTAACGCCGAACTAGTGGATAGAACTCCCCCCAAAAATACGAGCAAACTAGCATGATGTCACACGTCACCGTGCCGCTATCTGTACAGCTCCCTCCTCCCTGGGAGGGGAAGGGGGAGCCCCAGACCCCCATGCCAGTAATCCACACCCCAGTCCTTCGGCTGATGCTAAAGGCACCGGTTGTGTGCTCCGGCTCCAGTGGTTGTTTCAGCACTGTACTTAGAGTGTGGTGTCTGTCTTCTAGGTGGTGCGTGATTTGGGACCGAGTCTCCAGTACTCGGGCTGCATGCGCCTAGGGGT